GGGGGGGGGGGGATGGTGCAAGGAGGAAGGTTAAGACCCACCCTCTAGGGAAGCAGAGGGCAGGGCAAGGAGAGGACTTAAAAGGCACCATCAGCACTGAGAAGGGAGGGGCTACAGGAGGGTGGCCAGAGGCTGGGGGCCCAGGGTCTGGGGGCACCAGAGTGGGGCCTCTGAGGTCAGTGTTTATGAGGGGAGGGGGGTTCACTAGTGTCTTTGGTAGGGGCTGAAGGCACCACCGGTGGGGAAGGGGGTTTGCACAGGAGTCTTATAAATAGAAGTAGGGCAAGGGGGTAGGGGAAGGGGTGACTTCAGGTCCTAGGAACCCAGGAGCCGAGTGTAGACGACACAGAGCAGCAGCATGAGGACCACGTAGAAGAGGATGAAGCCTCCCAGACCAGAGAGGGGCCAGAGGGGCGGGGGGGACCTGCCCCCTGCCCGCTTCACAGCCTCCAGGGTGGTCCACAGCCCCTGGGCAGTGCCCTGGAGGAGATCCGAGGGCGAGCACAGGTCAGCCTGGGAAGGGAGAGTAGGACAGATGGACAAGGACAAAGGACAAAAGACGTGAGCAGCAGCAGCAGCAGCAGCAGCAGCAAGACAACCCTTCCCACCCGCTGCCCTCACGTGCCAGGGCCAGAGCCACGCCAACGTGCAGAGTGCAAGGAAGGGAAGCATGCAGGGGACACATGCAGGACAGGGGCTGGCGGATGTGCTTCCTGTTGAGAAGCAGACACCCCCCCCTCCCCGTGAATGGAACCCTGCCATCCATGCAGGGTGCCCCGCTGAGCCCAGGACACTGCACCCTTTATAGGAGAGACCAGCCCTGGGCCCCTGAGAACACACCCCCATACCTCAGGCACCCCCATTTTTCGACAAGCTTCTAAGAAACTCTCCACATTCTTCCGAGACTTGAGGGCACTGAGTTTTGGCTGGGGGTGGGTAAGAAAGGAAAAAGAGAGTAGGGGGGAGGCCCCAGGAGGCCCCGTCCCAACCCCTACTTCCTGCCTGGGCCCCAACTGACCACAGCAGGTGAGGGCACGTGAATGAAGGGCACGGAGCGGGGCCGCAGCTGGTTGGCCAGCTGACAGAGGATGACCCCATTGGCTAGAGCCTCTGCCAGGTCCTCGGGTAGGGGCCGCTGCAGCCGGGACTCAAGCACCTGGGAGGCAGGGGAAGGAGGGGCAGAGGTCAGGGTCAGCAGGGAACGCCCTCCTGCCCCTTCCGTCTCAGGGGAGGTACCAGGGTAGGCAAAGAGGCTGTTGAGGGAAGCCGGGAACCTCCAGGCACCAGGCGGAGCCCAGGCTCCACCCACGCAGATCCCACCTCTCATACCTGGCGCAGCTGAGCCATCACCTCCTTTTCCTCCAAAAGCTGGGGGGATCGCCGAGGTCTCAAGACAGAGTCCGGTGAGGAAGGGCCTGGAGAGAGAGGAGGGTGTGGGGCCGCCTCCACTACGCACCATCGACTTTGTAGCCCGGTCACAGGATCTGGCACCCACATCACCTGCCTCTGCGCTTGTGGGATTTTCGACACAATGGGACAACTGACCAGAGAACTCCCAGGCCAGAAGGGACGGCCCCAGCGCCGGGGTTAGTGCTGGATTAGCACCGGGTTAGTACTGGGGAGGGAAGACCCACCTGAGCTGCTCTGAGAGGAAGAACGGAAGAGGAAGCTGTTTGGTCTCTGAATGGAGCTGAGCGGCCGGGGAGCAGGTGCGGTCGCTGGGGGCCGGAGCCAGGGGGCAGGAGAAGCATCCCCTCAGTGTCCTACTCCTCCCTCAGGCCACCAGGTCTCAACCCCCCCCCCCACCTATAACAGGCCCGCACCCTCCTCCCAGCGCTGCCGTCCCACCTGGTCCCGCTGTAGGAAGGGGCTCCTGGGAGCCCCCCCCCCCCCCCTATAACAGGCCCGCCCCCTCCTCCCAGCGCTGCCGTCCCACCTGGTCCCGCTGTAGGAAGGGGCTCCTGGGAGGTGGAGGCGGGGGTGGGAGCACCCTGCCCCCCCGAAGCTCCCAGCTGGGTGGCATTGGACTTGGGTGTGCCGCTGAGGAGAGACAGAAGGGGAATCGAGGGCATGCTCAGGGGAAGGGCGTGTAAGGCGAGCACCGAGGGAGGCGGGGTCCAGGAGGACACATACTTGTAGGTGGCCTGAGCGGATGAGGCGGCAGCACCCCCGCCAGGAGCCCTGACCCCCAGCTTCGGAAAACTAGAAAATGAAGGTGTGGGGTCAGCAGTGCCAGGCGGGGCTCCGCCAACCCCACGAGGCAGGGAAGCTCAGGAGGCCTCACCGCCAGGGCAGCTGCTCCCACGCCCACACCTGTCCTTCCTTGGGGAACCCCATGCTCCACTCTGCTGCTGCTGCTGCCGCCGCTCGCGCTCCTGCCACAGCTGCAAGGTGTCTGGGCGCCGCCTCTCCTCCCCTGCCGGCTCCTCCCGCCTGCGGGGCAGAAGCAGGATGAGACGTGGAGCGGGGCCGGGCCGGAGGACAGGACAGGGGGGCGGGCGATGCAGTAAAGGGAGGAGGCGCCGCCTCAGGTGGCTCCGGGTACCTGCTGCTCGGTGCCCTCTCCCCATCCCCTGCCACAGGGCTCGATTCTGGTGGCTGCTGCTCCTGAAGAAAGAACAGCAGAGGGGCTGAGGGGGTTCCCCGAGCCTGCACTGGCTCCCCTCCTCCAGCTCTCTCATGGTGAATGGACAGGCGGACGCGGGCTCCCCTCACCTCGCCAGCACCTCGCTCCTCGTCCTCCCCAGGGACGTGGCTGTCGATGAAGTCAACCTGCTCAGGGTCTCCGTCAGCTGGAGAGAGCAGTGCGCATCAGCGAGCCAATGCGGGCGTTAGGCCCTCATCCGTGCCCCGCCCCCCGGCCCCTAGCCCGTGACCCCACTACACACCGGAGCCATCCTCCCTCCGCTCCCTGGGTCCCCGAGGCTCCCGAGCCAGCTCTGAGATCCGGAACGACAACTCGGAAAATTCATCCGTTGACTGTAAATGCAGAAATGCAGAGATAGAAGACAGCCTCTCTGGAGTCCCAGGGCCCATGGGGTTCAGGGCCCCGGGCTCTGCTGCTGAGCCAGCCCTTCCCCGCGAGATACTTGGGCGAGCGAAGGAAGAGGACTCCAGCCATCACCAGTCATTCTGAGTTTCAGAGGTAGCAGGCGAAGGGTCCCGGCTCAGAGGTTCTCCCCTGGGGCTGAGATCCCCCATGATCCTTGGAAAGGAGGCCCTTACCTCATTTCCAGACCACCTCTTGCTGCCACTGTCAACGCTGTGGAAGCCCGAGTCCAGCCCTCCGTCATACCGACGTCCCGGAAACAAGTCCTCAGCAGGGCTGGGGCCAGCCAGGGAGATCTGGTCAGCCCCATTCTGGGCAGCAACCCCGTCATCCGCCCTCTGGAAACCATGGGGTCCCTGGTGCTAGGAAGGGGTTTAAGTATCCAGAGGCTTCCTTCCTTCCCACTTGGAACTTACCAGGGGCTGAAACTCGGGGGGCGGGAAGGGGCCAGGTCCCCCAGTGCAGACCCCCCGTGCCGCCCAGCCTCTGTTGACAAATACTTGAAGATGTGAAGTTTCCCCTTCAGGCAGACCTAGGTGTGGAGGCGCATAGGGGGTAGTTAGGGGAAGAGAGGGGGGCCTCCCAGATCATGCTTGGCTACCAAAGGGACCTATGCCCCCAACTCCTGCCCATTCTCGGGCCCGTCCTCACCTGGGCAGGTGGGCTTTGCAGGGGGTTGCTGTCCAGCAAAATGACCTGCAGGTGCCTGAGGCGGCAGAAGGAGACCGGGATGCGGGAGACACGGTTACAGGAGAAATCCAGGCGGACAAGAGGAAGGTCTCCCAGCTCTGGTGGTGGGTGAGGGAAGAGTTAGAAGCATGCCCCGGGGCGGGGCCTTGTGCTCCCTTCCTCTGCCCCCCCCCCCTCTGGCTGGTGGGTCACCCCTGGGGCTGCCGCGCCTCCGCCCTGGTTGGCTGAGGGCGCTCCCCAGGACCCACCTCCCTGCTCCTCTTCCCGCTCAGACCAACTTCAGCTGCTGCCCACCCCACGTGCTTCCCTTGCCTTGTCCTCCCACCCCACCGCCACTTCCTCCTTCTCAAGTGTCCGTCACAGGGCCCAAACCAAGCTGTGCCACCGCGTTGCTCAAAAGCCTTCCAGGATCTGCAGGCGGGGCTGCTGCGGGTGAGCGGGCTGCACCGTGCACAAAGGCACGGGGAGAGGGGGCTGCTGCGACCGTACAGCGCTCCACTAGCCAAGCCCTGGCCCACCCACGGGAGAGGGTACCCTTCTCCACTTCTCAGAAAGGCACAGCTGGATTAGTGGTGCCCCGAGACACAGAATAAGAATAAAAATCACTGCTCTGAAAAATTTTGCGCCAAGCTGGCAGGTAATCCCCGTGTCAGTGTGACATGCTAACTCAGAAGTGTTTTCTGCTGCTATCATGGTCCGTCTGCTAAACTGCATCATCGCTGCGTCCCAGAACATGGGCATCGGCAAGAACGGGGACCTGCCCTGGCCCTCGCTCAGGAACGAATACAGGTATTTCCAAAGAATGACCACAACCTCTTCAGGAGAAGGTAAACAGAATTCGGTGATTATGGGTAGGAAAACCTGGTTCTCCATTCCAGAGAAGAATCGACCTTTAAAGGACAGAATTAATATAGTTCTCAGTAGAGAACTCAAGGAACCTCCACAGGGAGCTCATTTTCTTGCCAGAAGTCTGGATGATGCCTTAAAACTTATTGAGCAACCAGAATTAACAAATAAAGTGGACGTGGTCTGGATAGTGGGAGGCAGTTCTGTTTATAAGGAAGCCAGGAACAAGCCAGACCATCTTAGAGTATTTGTGACAAGGACCATGCAGGAATTTGAAAGTGACACATTTTTTCCAGAAATTGATTTGGAAAAATATAAACTTATCCCAGAATATCCAGGTGTTCCTCCTGATGTCCAGGGGGAGAAAGGCATTAAGTACAAATTTGAAGTATATGAAAAGAACAATTAATGTGAAAGTGTCTTCTGATCTATTTCAAGCCTCCTCCTCCCCCCGAAAAAATTATGTATTTTTTGTTGTAGAGACTTCTGTCGACTTTAGATCTGTGGATAATTATTTCTAAGCAAAGTACTTTTATTCCCCATTAATCTTAACTAGACTGTATCAGATACCATTTGTGAAACATTTCTTGCTGTAACTTCCTGAATGCCCATCAAGAGTCCAGAAAAGGTGACCAGCACTTGCCTAGGGCAGAGTATCTACCAAGACAGCCCAAAGCGGGAGAGTCCCCTGGCAGCATGAGCTGAAACCAGAGCCTACAGAGCTAGGAGCTAGGCAGACAGGTCCAAGGTTAGAAATGGATTATAAACAGAAGAGCTAGCATTCCGTTATTAGAATTAGATCAAAAGAGGGACTGTGAATTACTCTATATCACACTTCTGAAAAAAATTCTCTTCACTCAGACCAGGAGTCAATAAGTTGAAAAATCCAGGATATTCCACAGGGATAGTAAAGAGGCAGGTACAAGACTACCTTTCTGGTGGTTAAAGGAGAAGGTCTGAGACCTTAAAAAACTTTGTTTCTGATCTTCAGTGAGATTGCATGGGATGTTACAATGATAGAACAAGAATTGGCTGCTCTTTACAAAAAAGAATAATCTAATATCAAGCATAATGGCTAAAATTAAAATTCAAAGAGGTAATAAATTGAGAATGAATATTGCTAGAAACCAAAATTAGCAAGTTAGAAACTAAACTTCACGGAATTAAAAAATGAAAATTAAAACATGTTTTACCCAACACGTTAGCAAAGATTCAGATTAAGTATCCAAAAACAAAAAAGCATTTTCTGCCTTATAAATTGGTACAACCTTTTTAGAGTGTAAGTTAGCAACATCAATTAAAATTCAAAATATTCTGGGTTTGGACCCAGAACATCCACTTCTAGAAATTAATCCTGAACAAAGAAATGGACCCCAGGGTATTTGTTGCAACTTTTTTTTTCAGACTTGGAAACAGCCCAAATGTTGATTAATAAGAAATAACTAACCAATATGTCTATAAAATGTAACATCTACAGCAGTTAAAAAGAATAAAGTACTGACAGGAAAATGCCAAAAATTGCTAAATAAAAGAAGGAAATTGTGTATAATACTCAAAATGTTTAATTCTTTTACTGCTTTGTTTGCAGTTTCTCTGTGTGTGTTTTCCTTCTGATAATGTAGAAAGTTAATCTGCTTGTTTATTTTTTTCAAAAAAAAAAAAAAAAAAAAAAAAAAAGAAAGAAAAAATCACTGCTCTCTGGTCAAGCACCCCTCCCTGGTTAAGGAGTTCATGATCTGGCTCCGCCCACGTCTCGCACCTCGCTGCCCACCCTCACACCATATCAGACAACCCTCCACCCGCTTTGCTCTGGGCCTCTCCACATGCTGTCTGCTCAGGTAGGAAAACCCCATTTTTCTGTCCATGCATCTTTCAAGGTTCAGCTCAAGGGTCATTTCTTCTATGAAATCTTTCTAAACACTAGGTTGGAATTTATTGCTCCTTCCTCTGGGCCCCCAGGGCATTTTGCTGGGGTCTCTTTTATGACCCAGAGAGAGCCCTGATCAAATGCTTATTTGTACCCCTACTGTCTTAGAAGGAAAGAAGGAGTGGGGGGGAGCCTAGAGAAAATGGATGGCCACCTGACTCCCCTCTCTTGTTCTTCAAGACCATGGGTAGCATGGGCCCAGCCTTCCCACCTAGCCCTGGCTTGCCTTTCTAACCACGTCTGTGCTGGACCTCCGTGGTTTACACACAGGGTTGCTTCTGCCTGGGTTGCAGAAGGATGGAGAACTCTCCTTCAAAGGTCAGCTCCTGCTGTACCTCTGGGCTGACTGAGGGCTTCCCCAGGTCCCTGAGCAGAGCCACAGGGCTCCCTCTAGCCCCTACGGCGCTAAGTTTCCTGTTCTAGCGCTTCCCTCTGCTTGTCTCTCCCCATTAAGCCATTAAATCTTAAGAGTTGGCCCCAGATCTGAGTGACATCACTCACATCTACCTGTTCCCCACCTAAAACACAGGAAACACACACACACAACAATGCTGGCTGAATAAAGGAAGGTGTGCCTGCTTTGGAGCAAAGGCTATCAAGTGTCGGGTGCATCACAATTAGCTCATTAAAATGGAGTTGCCTGAGCTCCAGCTCACTGGTTCAGAATCTCTGGGGAGGCAGCACAGGACCTCACCTGACTCAGGTTTTGAGAGCTTCGTGGGCGCTAAATGGTGACACTGGGTGACCTTGAGGGCTCCTCTTGACTGTGAAACTCTACAGGGTGCCGATGCACTCATCACTCCCCTTCCTGCGCCTTTCCCCACATTTGTCAAGCACAGCTAATAACCCATACGCCTTGCCAGCCTCAGAGGGCTGCTGGCCAAGAGCAGAGAAAATAATTTACAGTGTGTCTCACGCACTGCGAAGCCCTGGGCAACGAAGGCATTATTTTTCCTTGAAGATTCCTTGTCTGTGACTCCTCCAAGGTAGATACACAGACACACACAGACACACAGACACACACACACACACACACCCTCACACCCCTCCAGTGCTTCCTTTTCCTCACCATCAGGCAGGGCACTGAGCTGGTTCCTCCGAACATTGAGATCCCGCAGGGAAGGAAGGCCACACAGCTCCGCTGGGAGAGATGGCAACTCATTGCTGCTCACATCCTAGAATGCGGAAAGAAGGAGGGAAGGAGCCACAGACCCCGAGCATCAGAAACTACCTCCTGGACCTGGCCGCCTGCTTTAGTCGCGGCTCTTCCCCTAGGGTGCATCCCTCCTTTCCCTGCCCTCCTCCGCCCCTCCAAAGGTCCCTAGTGCGTGGCTCATCAGTCCCTCTTGTCACCCTGCTCCCCATCCTCACGAGCTGCCGCAGGCTTCCCAGGGCGCTGATGTCGGGAGGTAGGGCCCCCAGTTTGTTGTTGCTGACAATGAGTACTCGCAGGGGCAGCTGGCAGATGTAGGGCGGCAGCGATGACAGCTGGTTTCGGCTGTGGGAGGGAGGAGGGCAGTGGGCTCACCCTCCAGGCATGGTGCTGTCCTTTCAGGGTCACCGGGAGGGTCACTCAGGGTGCCGTTCACTGGTACTTGGGGCCGAGAAGGACCACCCCCTACCCTGCGGTGGCCCTGCCTCCCTACCTGAGGTTGAGGTAGGTGAGAGCTGTGAGATTCCCCAAGGCTGGGTTCAGACATCTCAGACAATTGTGGTAGAGGCTCAGACCCTCCAGGGACACCAGCTGGCACGCTGCCTCTGGCACCTCGGGGAACCGGTTCCGGGACAGGTCTAGGGGAAGCAAGTGTCAGCGGAGAGCTTGCAAAGACCCAGCCCTGGACAGGAAGACCTTGAACTTCCCCAGAGCCAAGGAGTCAGACCTATAAACCTGGACCCTCTAGAGCGAGAAGAAAGCCTTCCGTAACCTGGAGCCCGTTCCAAGCATAGCCAGAGTGGCAAAGGGAAGGCAAAAGGCCTTGGGGTCACTGGGCTGGAGAAGCCTAGACTTGGGGGAGGGGGGCGAGCCATGAACACCATCTTCAAACACACAAATGCAGGGCTATCCTGTAAGAGGGGCTAGATTCTATAACTCTTGTGGTTTCTGTTGTTCTGTGATGCCTGGAGAGGTGGGAGGCAAAGGTCATAGGAGAAGGTTGGTGCTCCAAAAGAACTAGCAAGGTGATGGGCTGGGAGGTTCAAGGTAAGAATATGAACAACCCCTGGGGGACACGACCAAGAAAGCTCATCCCTCCTAGGCGCCCTGTCTCCCAACGTCTACCTATTTTCCACCAAGGGTTATTATAGCCTGGCTCTAGAGACCTCACACTGGCCACCGGTTTTTCACCAGCCCCTGGGATCAGCAAGCCACGTCCAAGGGACTATGGAGTCACAGATTCCCAAGGACCTGGAGGGAGAGGCAAGGGGACCAAGCCGGAGGTGGGAGGTGGAGTCCCAGGTACACCTTGCTCAGAGCTGGCCTCCTTCCTGCCCTCCTCCAGTCTCAACGGCCTGCTTCTACTTCCTCTCTCGCTGACCTGGACTTCAGAGCAGCTCCTTTGCCTCGAGTCTTGGGCACGGGCGAGGAGTGGAGAGGGTGGAAAGGACGGGAGAGTCTACTACCATCCTTTGATCTCAACCAGCGGCTTGCTAGACCAGTGCAAGGCGTCCAGCACGGGGTTCCTGCCAGTCTGGAGGCCCTCACTGCTTAGACTGCTACAAGCCTGGGTCTCTGCTCCCTCTGCCCAGCCTGTATTGGGAGGGGCCCAGGGCCTGCTGGGGAAGTCCCAGGGAACAGAGCTTGGGGGAGCTTCTTAGACGGCCCTCTCCACGGAGGGGAGAGCAAAAGCCGAGGGGAGGGGAGGGGAAGCGGGGATATATCCCCCAAGGAAACGAGTCTTGTGACAGGAAATGAAGTAGAAATAACCTGTCAGGTTCTGTCTCTGGGCCCTGTGTTTACCAGGGCGGACGACAGCCTGACGCCCCAGGAACCCCCTCTGCTCCCAGCCCTGGTGTGCACAGAAAAAAGACCTGTCACAGGAGAAGACAGTTCCAGAGAGGGTGGGAGGATGAGATGCAGTCCTCCCGCCCTCCCCCTCCACCTGCCCGCTTTCTCTGCATCCACAAATGTGTGTGCTGCACGCGCATGTGGATGAGGGGGGTGGAGGGCAAGTTGTGATGGGGCGAGCCAGGGAGCAGGGGCAAAAGCTCAGAGCGAGCGAGCCGAAGGGAGCGGGGCTGGAGGAGCGGTGCACAGGAGGCACAGGATGTGGTCTGTGAAAGAATGAGCTGCACTTCTCTTTTGTGAGAGCAGCCCTTCCCCCCACCTCAGGATTCATCCTACTATCAGGGCCCGGGGACCGAGTCCAAAGGACAGCAGGGACCTGCGCCACAGCACACGTGCAAGGAAAACGCTGGTTCAGAAAGAGCTGCGGAAGCAGGAGGAGAGGTTCCACAAGATTCAGTCAGCAGAGCTGAAGTTTTTAGTCCGTCAGGGTTGAAGGGCAAGGAAGTGTGGAGAGCAGGGTATGGGCAACAGACTGGGTTCCTGTCACTTCCTCTTTCCACCCCAAGCTACAGGCACCCTGCTTGGGGAGAGGGGCCGGAGGAGAGAGTTCTGGACGAGAGAGACCCACCTGGCCTAGAACCTGGGCCCTGAAAGGACTGAGGATTCCTGTGTGGAGAGCAGGGTAGAGAGGGGTTCTCAGGAAGCTGGGATTGTCCCGCTTTCCCTGGAGAACGGGCTGCACCCTGAGCCGGAATGCTGGGGGAGGAGGTGGAGAGGGGGTGGGAGCTGGGAGGGGGCCCGGGAGGTCTTGGGAGTTTTCCCCAGGAGTCCACTCACACAGACAGAGCCCTAAGGAAGTAAAGAATAACATTTGGTCTTTGTCAAAAAACAAGCAAGGGGGAGGGGAAAGGGAACAGACGGCAAGTGTCACACAGCTGCTGAGGTCAGTCTGGAGCTGGGGGGTTAGGCGGCTCCGGGAGACTCAGAGGGACAGCAGTGGCTCCCGGCTGCCCTGAACTCACTCGCCGAAGAGTGGGCGAGTGAGTTTACCTAGCAACCCAAGACAAGGGGAGTGGTTTCAACTGGTTCTCTCCAGAACAGTCGAGGAAAGAGT